ACTTCTACTCATTCTTGGATGAACTTTAGGACTTCTAGGGTCATCTGGGCCCGTCTGGAACTAAAAATGACAGATTTAATATCAATCCCGCACTTAAAGAAACTTCCAAGATCAATAAAATTATGTGCTCAAGCATTTTTTTCCGAAGTGTATTTCTTTCTCATACTTAGCCAATTTTGTAGAATGGCGCTCGAGCCTTATTGATATAGCGCTCGAGTGCTAATTAGTGCTTGAGCCCTATTAGCACAATGCTTGAGCGCTGTTCTTCTTGGATTTGTGCTCGAGCACAAATAGTTGTGCTCGAGGATTGGAAGCTTGTGCTTGAGCATTTTGGCCAATGCTCGAGCTCTGGGACTTAAAACTTCCGAGTTGTCTTTTCATCTTCCCAGGGGTGTTTGTGCTCTAACATTTTGAAAATGCTCGAGCATAAAGGTCTCGTGCTCAAACACAAAAGTACTTAGCCAAAATTCTCTGATATCTTCAATTTGTGCTCGAGCACAAAGAGTTATGCTCGAGCTTTGGCACTTATATTTCTTCAACTACCCCAAATTAACTCCAAAATGATCTCGGAAGGTCCGGTATCTCTATAAGCTCCGGGAACATCTCTTTGAGCTCCAGAATTATGGTTTTGTCCTATTTTTCGGGAAATGACCTACAAAAGGCAAATAATCTAAAATAAGTATAAAAACTGAGAAAAAACCAAAACTAAGATCCTAACTATGCATATTTAGGGGTTCGAATATGAAATATTCAGCGCTTATTAGTATGGTAATTCTGAAGTAATATTTTGTGTATTTGATTCATGGATGAACAAATGGATAAGTGTTGTTTTTGTTTTTAATTTCTGTTTGAATGGATATGGACAATAATATGTATGTATGTGATGTTGGGGAATATAAACCAATATCTATTAATGAATATGGACCAATATCTATGTATGTATGTGTTGTTGGTTATTTAAGTTATTGAATGTTGTCAAATGCAGGCTATTGTTGGTCATTATTAAATGGTTAGTCACCATTGAATGGGTAGTGCAGTAAGTATAATGTTTGCATTCAAACAAGTTCTAATTGCATTTAAACACATATACTTGTATTCAAATAGGTTCTAGTTGCATTTAAACACATTATACTTGCTAGAAAACATCAGAATATTACATTCCCCAACTTCTAAGAGTACAATGTTTCACATTACTAGCTTGAACAATACAACATAACTAAAGAACCCCAAAAGAAAATTGAAAATGGAACCAGTGTGCTTCATTTCTCTTAATTCTGCTATCATGTTTTCCATCTCCAAAAGCCTGTCATCATCATTCACATTTATAAATGGAGCTTGAGCAACTAATGGAGATTCAGCTCATTGCAAGTCCCACAGCTCTCGTACCTTTGTCATAAGATTCCAAATCAATTTACAGTAATAATCAAACAGTTCATCATCCTCCCATTTTAAAAAACCACACGAACCAATCCTATAGTTTGCGCACCCGTAAAACATTCTACCATGATTTCATTGCATAAATAACACCTTCAAAGGACTTTTAACTCCACATTTACAATAATATTCTTTCACCGACCTCCCATATGGGTAACAATGGCATTTTGAGCTTGAAGATGATGACATGTTTGGAGTAAATGAATAAAAATTTTGAGACAAAGAAATAATATAAATAATCTGCAATTTTATATCCTGGTATGGGGAAAGCAAGAAATAAAAAGAGAGAAAGAGGGGCGAAGGAAACGGGTTGGGGGGGGGGGGGGGGTGGGTTATATGCACATTTGTGTTAGGGGCAAAATGGGAACAAAAGGGGTAAAATCGAGTTTTCATATTTACTTTTTGCCAAAAAGTGGTCAAATAAGCTTATTTGTACATTTTTTTTGAATTTTATGGACTGAAATGCACATTTTTAAAAAAGAGGGACTATTTGTGCACAAAACATATATTATAGTTTTTTTTTTGCACTTAACCCTTTCTTTTATTTAAGCATTACTAATAAAACACACTGTATAATTTTAAAACATAAATATATATATAAGAGAATAATTTTATATTTATTATTTATTAAAATAAATAACATTTTAAAATTTTAAATTAATTATAAAAATTAAATATAAATATAATTTTGTATATTTAATTCTTAGTTTAGGATTTTATGGTATGTTTTAATATAGAATTGTTGTTATGGATTTATTGAAATAAATTATATATTTCATTCTCTTATTAGATTTCCTTTTATTGAATTTTAGTATTTTCTACTATATTATTATTAATATTATTAGTATTTATCCTCTAATTAATTGAATTAAAAAAATTATAAATTATATATTTTATTCTCTAATTAGATTTCCTTTTATTGAAATTTAGTAATTCAATTTTTGATAATTTTTTTTTTTTAATATTATACATTTTCTTCTCTAATTAAATTTTCATTTATTGAATTACACTATTTCCTACTAGTATATTATTTTTATTGGGATTTCATTATCTAATTATACAATTTTTTTTCTTAGTTACTCACAAACCCATGCTTCCATGGAGGTTTAAACCCCTGACCTCCCTTTGAGAAGTAGAGTCTGGTACCATTGGGCCACTTGATTGTTAGTAATTAGATTTTTTTTATTGGATTAAATAAATAAAATTTTAATATTCTATATTTTTGTCTTGTATTATATTTCCTTTTATTGAATTTCAATAGTTTAATTTTTTTTAATATAATATACTTCTTTCTCTAATTAGATTTTCTTTTATTGAATCTATGTATAACGTAATACTATATTATTATTATTAGTATTGCCTACAATTATATTATTAAATAAATTAATGTGGTGAAATTCAATTATTGATATATGTTCATATAGAATTGTTATTATGTATTTATGAAATAAATCATATATTTCATTCTCCAATTAGATTTTCTTTTATTAAATTGCATACTATATTGTTATTATTAGTGTTTCTCCTCTAATTAAACTTTTTTATTTAATTAAATAAATAATTTTTTAATATTACATGTTTTGTTTTCTAAATATATTTCCTTTTATTGAATTTCAGTAGTTTAATTTTTTTTTTAATTATTTTTAATTAGATTTCTTATCCAACTATGTTCTTCCTCTTCTTCTTCATTTTATATTATTTATTTATTTATTTATTTATTATTATTATTATTTTTTGACAATTTCACCACTTATCCAACGATGGTCATACATGCTTCGTCGTCGTCGTCTTCTTCTTCTTCTTCTTCTTTCTTTCTTTTTGTTTTTACATCATCAGAAAAATCATTTGTAATATCCAACTCCCTTCTCTATTCTTCCTCTCTAGACGTAACTTCAGTTTATGCGGCCAAGAATAGCACTGCTTATAATGCTCGCATGAGATGGCGCCGACAAAAATACCGGACGATAAAAAAAGCCAGGCGAAGCTTACAAGGATGAATCCTCACTTTTCCCATCGTCTCCGACCATCCAATTATCAATCCAAAATCTACTATCTTCCATCATTCCATGAATGAAATTACATCGGAACAAGAAGATACAAAATAACAGAAACCAAACACAAATTGGATGGTCAAAAAAGCCAGGTCAAGTTGACCCAATAAATAGTAACTAATCCATGCACCCATAACTCTATTCTCCACCACCAAGGTCCGCACTGTACGGTCATCTCCTCACAACCTGTAGATTTTATCTATTATTTCTTCTTTCTCTCGGGCGACAATGGTGGGTGCCAAGTTTTAACCGCAAATGGACTCTGCAACAACCGCAAATGGACTCTGCAACAATAGGCATGAGAGCTTCTTTTTCCTCTTCATTCACCAAATTACCAAACCCTAATCCCAATTTAATACCATGTAGTTAGAAACCCCAGCTTTGCGTCGATTCTGATCGATTATTGATCCTGTTCCATAAGATATACATATGACTCTCTGACGAAAACACCATGAATGACTGCGAGAACAATAATGACTCTCCTCTTTTTTCCTCATCAGAATCAATACCTTCGTCGTGAAACCTTCTCTTCTGGGAACACCGATCGTCGCTGAAAACAGTAGAGAAATCATGGCGGTCTCCCAAATCCCGGGAGACCAATTACATGACACTTGGGAAAGATACAATGATCTTCTTGGAAAATATCCACGCCATGACATTGCAAAATAGCATCAGGTCTAAATATTCTATGATAGTTTAGCCGAGCCTCATAGGAACATGATTGGTGCCTCAAGTGGTGGTGCGTTCCTTTCTCAAAAGTGCGGATGACGCTTGGAAATTCTTCGAGGCTTTGACATTTCTGTCCAACATGCTTCTACTTTTAGGTCTAGGTCTGCTTCTAGTGTCCATTAGGTAGAAAATCTGTTTGAAATTGAGAAAACTCAAGAGTTAGCTACTCAAATGGAAGCATTAACCCGGAGATTTGACCAAGTCTTGGCAGCGGGGTATGTTCCCATTCCTTCTCCGCACTCCTCTATACCACATGAGGCATGCTCCATCTGCTCTAATCCTTCTCATCTTGCCTAAAATTTTCCTCTAATGGGCCAATCTTCTGAATTTCCTCAAGATTAGGCCAATGCCACATTCTCTAAGACCGAATTACAATCCATACGACAAACTTATAATTCGGGATGGAGAGATTACTCAAATCTGTCATGGCGGAATCAAGGCCAAGAAAATTGAATCCCACAATCTCAGGATCAATTTCAAAACAAGTTCACTTCTCTTCCAAACAATAATTCTTTCAATCCATCATCTAACTATTGTCCTCCTCCACAAGTGCAAAATCTATTCAATCCTCCTCCCCCTCTACTTGCCAACCTTACTTGCCAACCTATAAATAGTTCACTTTTTCAGTTTGCATGCTTTCGTTTATTCTGCATAGCAACACTGAAGAAGATTTTATCTTATAAAGATCATTATTTGGTAGCATGAGATCAGAATCAAAACCTAGCTTGATGATAACAACGTGACAACGCTGATCCACAACTTTATATAAAAAGAAACAAAAACAGGTAATCAACTCTATGACTTTTGAGAATTACCAAGAACAAAATTATTCTTCAACACAATTGATAAAAAAAACTAGGTACAAACTTGAATAATACACGAGTCAACTGATTTTTCTATGCATACAGGTAAGGAATACAAATGAAAACCATTTCCTGATCAACTTCAAACCCTGAACATATAAAGGCAAAACCAAAACCTGCAAAGCTTTCCGATATGGTGCATAAATTATTTATCAAAAAGAAAAAGAAGAAAAACTCTGAACATAGAGGCAAAACCAAAACCTGCAAAGCCATAGCTAATAACGTTTTCCAAGAATTATGCCAATGATCACTGACACCATCGCTACACCCAAAATTAACTTCAAGGTCATGGCAGAAGAAACCCCTGTGATGTGAGTATGGGTGTCTGGTGAGGAGTAGGACGTTTGAGCAGGAGTAGCTTCAAGCTTTTTCTTACTCTTCCGTTTTGATGGAGTTGAGATGGTCAATCCGATGTCCCTAGATTTCACCTCTATTCCGTCATTTAATGCAGTTGGACTGCCTCCATTATCCTGCATTATAGTTCAAGTATAGGTAGCTATTCAGCTAATAGTAGAAAAACTAAATCTCAAAAGTAAAAATTATTTGAAATTCCTGTGACAAAGTCAACATATTTGGATGCATTACTGCAGATGGACTGAGTGTCATTTTTCTTTCTCAAGCAGAGTGAGAGATACATACTTTTGCTAGCTTCTAATTTTATACATATGCATCTTAATGTTTAATGTGGTGAGAAGATGTAATATTATCCACCAAAACTCTCCAGTGTTCTTTCTCCAATTATGAGCTGTAGTATTCTCTCTCTAATTATGAACATTATAAAAAATTAAAATAATACACACATACATAAATACATATATACATACACAGATTGCAGGAAAAACATTACCTTATCTTTTGATTTACCATCAACCAGCTGCAATTTTTGCTCAAGCTCTTCGACTTTCTTTTCTAGAAGTAGGACCACTTTGTTCTTAGCTTCAAGCTCCTCAAATGAATGTTTCAAAGCAGCTTCACGTTCCAACTCTATCCGAGAGTCTACTTCTTTCTGCTTCATTGAAAATGTAAATCGAGAACAGTGATTTTCAACAGTCAATTACAAAACCCCTCTTGTTTTCTTTTCTGAAAATTTTAGAATTGTTTGTAACTTAAAAAAATTTAAGCATCACAAATTCTTATTTGTATGGATTAGCATGATATGCAGTACCTCTTCTTTTACTCGAGCTTCAGCTGAAGCTAATTGTTCCTCAAGCTCTTTCATGTGATTTTGCAACACGACCTTCTCATCTATCTCAGCCTTTAGATTGTCCATCTCAACTTTCAAAGAATCTTCGCTTGATTTCTGTTCTTTCAGTTGTCCTTCAAGTTGAAGTATCACAGTCTGAAGTTTGTTCTTTGCATTTTGATGAGTTTCATTAAGCAGATTGTTCTCTTCCACAGCTGAAGATATCTGTCCCATGCAAACACATTTGGATCAGAAATTGTCAGGAAAAAAAAAAAAAAATTATAAAATGTGTTTCTAATTGTGACATAAATGATTTATCAGAGGATGGAAAGACTATTTCTTAAGTGCAAAACCTGGGACTGTAGCCTCTGCCCTTCAGAAGTAAGCTGCTCTGTCAAATCTTCTATTGCTTTTTTTGAAGAGTGAAGCTGTTCAATTGCTTCATCTTTCTCAGCAAAAGCTGAAGACAGTTTTGCTTGTAGATCATTCAGCTTGGACTCATACGTGGCCAGTTTTTGAGTGAGCTTTAAATTCACCTCAGCTAGCCCTTCACTCTCTTTTTCAAAATGACTGGTCTTGCTTTGCAGTATGTTTTCCAGATCCTTTAATTTCAAGAGAGTCAGTTCCAGCTCAATTTTTTGCGCTTCGGCAACAGCAGATGCTTCATTAGTCCGTTCTTCATACATTCTTATTTGTTCTTCAAAAGCATTAAGCTTTTCATTCAATTCATTAGCTTCTGAATCCCGATGGGAAAATTTCTGAATGGCTGCCTGCAATTGTGATTCTGCTTCTGAAATGCGGGCTTCAGTTGCCAACTGAAGTTCAGAGGCTCTTGAGCATTGATCTGTTAATTCAGTAATAGTGTTCATGTGAGAAGCAAGTTGCTTAGCAGTGGCTTCCTTTTCAGCATGATCAGAGTTCAGTAATTCGTGAAGCTCATTAATCTTGCTTTTGAGCTGTATATTTGTCTCAACTAACAGTTCGTTCTCTGAGAAAGACACTGCTGCTTTATCTTCAACCTCCAATATCTTTCTTTTGAGTTCTTCGTTTGTGCTTTCTGAAGAAGCCAATTTCACTGAAATCTGATCCAACTCTTCATTAATGGATACAGATCTCTCAGATGCTTCAGCTATCTGTTCTTCATAAGTCTTCACTTGATCTTCAAGAGTCTTCAGTTTCTCATATAACGATTTTGCCTCCGAATCTCTGTTGTTGAATTTCACAATTGCTTCTTCGAGTTTCATCTCTGAATCCCTGGATAGAGTTTCATGCAATGATTCAAGCTCTGATCTTCTTGTAGTAGCTTCCTCTAATACTCTTCCTTGTTTCTCAAGTTGCTCCTCGGCGGATTTAAGCTTCTCCATAACCTCTCTTTCTCTTACTCCAGAGGCCTTAAGATCACTTTCTAAGCTATTTAATTTCTGTTGAGTCAGATCCAATTCATTCCGCAAAACCTTGAGTAAATTTTCTTCTTCAGAAAGCTTCATGCTTGTATTTGTCAATGCATCTTCTAAATTTTTCTTCTCGTTTGTTGTTGAATTCAAACAGTCAGCCAACTCTATTTCCTTCTCATTGGCCATTTGCAGTGCAACCTCAAGGCCTGATGCTTTTAATTGGAATGCCTTGAGTTCTGCTTCAATTATAGATACTTTATCAGAGAATTCCTTGGAATCTCCTTCAGCATCTTCACATTTCTTTTCTAGCTTGCTCACCTGTTCTTCAAGCTCCTGGATTCTGTACTTCTCTGTTTCAAGCATCAGCTCCAATTCACTTGCTCTTTTGCCAGCATCCTCTACTTTGGAATGTGATATCTGGATTAAATCCTCAAGCTCTAGGCTGCGCTGATGGGTTGTATTGGCTTTCCCTTCATGTTCTGCACATCTTTCTGCAACAACCTTCAATTCCAACTCAAGCTCTGAACTACGTGAAGATGACTGGTTCAAAGCAGACTCCAGTTGAGTTATCTTATCCTCATATTCTTGCATTTGACCACTCATCTGTTTCTTTTCTTCCTCGACCTCTCTCAATGTGGCATTGAGTAGAGATATTTGCTCAGAAAACTCTCTTAGTTCTCTAACGGCATCATTGCTTTTTAGTTCCACCAGGTTGAGCTGTTGCTCTAGCTCCATGTTCCTCGCTTCTGCCGTAATAAAACATCTCTCAAGCTCTCTCAATTGTGATTTTGCTTCTTCGGCTTCTGCATTGGAAGCTCGTAGGATTTCCTCAAGCTCGAGATTCTTTTGCGCTTCAGTTGCTGCTGCATATCGAGATTCGTGATGGAGCTCTTCCAGAGATTTCAACTTCTCTTCCAGCTCTGCACTGTTTGCCAAAGTTTGAGACAGAAGAGAATCTGCTTTACTGAAATTTTCATCAGACAACTTCAACTTTTTCTCAAGATCATTGCACATCTCCTTCATCTGTGCTGCATTACTAGTTAGATCAGCCACAGTGGCTTCGAGAGCTTCTTTTTCTTTGATCACTTTGGCCAGTTCCTCCTGTTTCATTGAGACGTGTGCTTCTTGGTTTTTCAACCCAACTTCAACCAATTCTTTTGCACTCACTTCCTCCTGCAGCTTCAACTTGACTGTTTCCAACTCAGAAACCTTTGCATGAAGATCTTCTTTTGTTGATGAAAAATGATTTTCAAGTGCTGAGATATCTTCCTTTACCTGAGATTCTGAAGCCTTCTTCAGATCCAATTCTTGGGTCAATTCATTTATGAGAGCTTCCTTTGATGTGAGCTTCTGCTCCATGTCAAGCATTTGTGATTTTTTAAGCTCCAACTCCCTTTGAACTGTGGAAAGCTCAGCTGCAGTACTAGTGAAAGCTTCCTCAACCTTGTGGTTGTCAGCAATCTTCTTGTACAGGTCCTTGAGTTCTTCTTGGAGGGAAACCATCTGATCTTCCATTTCTTTTGCACTCAATTTTGCCAGTTCAAGCAACTTCTCGAACTCGAAGGCTCTCTTCGTCTCTGATTCAGCATGTGAACCGCTTTGCTTATGCAATTCCTCAAACTTCCGTGCTTCGCTTGTGGAAGTTTGTAGCTCTTGCTCCAGCTCCTCCATCTTCTTTCTTGAGCTTTCAAGTTCAATATTAAGATCAACAAATGCTTCTTTCACATTTATCAGATCCCTTTGCTTTGTTTCTTGGGCTTGCAGTGCCTCTTGCATAACATTAAGCTGTAGATGATACATCTTTTCGGCTTCCATGATCTGCTCTTGCAATTTTTTGTGATCAAGTTCAAGGTCTTCATATTTCTTTCCACTTTCTTCCAACTTCTCCTTGGTAAGTGAGACTTCATCCTTCAGCCGTGTATTCTCAGATTCAGAATGCTTTAATTCTCCAGCTACTCTTTCCAACTCAAGCTCAAGTTCTTTTGACCTTTCTTGGGCTTCTAGAAATTCTCTGCTTGCAGAAGAATTATATGAGCCTCGCTCAATGACAGATGTCTTGTCATCTGCAATAGACACTGTTTCAGCAATTCGGGAACCATCCTTTACATCTAAGGTTTCCTTCTCTACTTTTATAAATTCTCCGTCCAAGGCAGTTTCCTCCTCTTCCTTTTTGTCTTCTCTTTCCACTTGGTTCAAGTCTTCATTTGTCAACTGCAATAAGGTTTTGGAAGCAACACATATTTAAGAACCATAACTAGCAAAAATCACATAAATTTTACATTTAAAACCAATTTCGCACAAAGGACGAGGTAATATATCATTAAGGTGAATCCAACAAGCATGCCATGGGTACTACAAAAGGTTAAGATTTTTGAAGGCTATATATAACTAAACATGCATCCAGGATCCTGTCAGCCTGGGATGCACTAAAACAGATAAATCTGGTAACAACAGTTTCTGCACTGACTTTTTCTCCAATTCAAGTTCAAGCACACTCCCCTAGTCTGAAAAAATGGGTGAGGGATGTTTTACAACCCTAAGAAGTTTCAACTAAAGCAACCATCTATTGCCCTAACGTATGTATCTATGTGGCCTTGAAAATGAAAAATATGATTGTATCCGGCCGTGAAATTACTCTCTCTCTCAGGTGGATTTGGGCGGGGGTGTTTTGTGTAGCATTTAAACAAGTAGCAAGTTTGTAATTGAACTTGTTAAATGTACGAATAATTCAGGAGTCTATGCAAAGACTTTCTTTCAAATCTTATACTATCATTCTGCAATGGCTCCAGTCTAAAAGGGTGTGAATAATTTGGTAATCAAATGCTACAGATTTTTTATTTTTTTTAAACTTCCATCAAGTCTCATTTGACAAAAAACTCAAAGGTGCACATAGTTTGCCACATCTGGTGCATCTTTGTAGTAGTCCCACACATAGAAACAAAACTCATTTTTAGGCAAGTCATTTGATCATTCATTGTTGATATAACAAAGAAAAATGTTCAGGTGCTTGCCTCTTGTTATAATTCAACCACCATAATTGAGAAAAAAAGCACAACTTTACCTTAATGCGATCAGCTATGTTGTGTGTGTTCTCCACAACCTTCGTCATTGTTATCTCTGGACTTGCTTGCGTTTCTTCTTCCATATCAGAAGGAATTGCACCTTGTAGGCTTTTAATTTTTTTACTGAGACTGGATTAACATAAGCACAAAATTACTTCAAAGTTAGATCAATTGAAAGATAAAGTAGAGATTACATGTGTAGGACCGTGATTTTATTTATTTTTAATTGGTATACAAGCACAAGTTAAAATATTAAATAAAGAAACTCACATATAATCTTAACTTTACAAGATGGTGAAGGAAAAGGATGGGACCACAGTATGACAGGTTCACAAGATTGTGAAGGAAAAGGATGGGACCATGGTATGACAGGTTGCCCCAAAAGATTCATTGTATTTCATCACCTTGATGCAAGGCTTAAAATTATAGGAAAATTTTATCAAAATGAACCAAATTCTGAGTAGTGAATTTTTTTCTTCTTTTTTTGCAGATTTGATAAATCAATATTAAAATTGAATGTTGAACCCATTAGATCTGTCTAAAACACTTGGTATTAATTTCAGAGCCCAAGAAATGCTGTTACGTAATCCTTCTTTGCATGTATACAATCTTTGGAAAAGGGGAAGAAGGAAAAAAATATATACCATATAAAAAACAATGATCTTCCAAGGCAGTTATGCAAGTCCAGCCAAATTATAATGGAACATTTGTTGTCGTCTGTGCTTCGACAATGACCAATATTATGTTTTATACTTTTCATTTCCTTTGTAGGACAATAGTCCCTTGTGATTGTTTGGGCTGTCAAATTTGATAAGTGAACAAGAGAGGGATGTATCCATCATGCACAAAAAACAATAAGTCTATCATGAGAAGTGCTCAGGCAAGAGAAGCTCCCTGATAGCTTTTATCATATACTATTATTATGCAGTCAAATAGCATACTGTATTAGTTTGTCTTCACAAATGTTCACTCACCTAGGTTATGGTGAATTCCAATATCATTATCTTGTTCTTATGGCATATTGAATTAAACTTGATGCTCTCAACGTACTGTTCTATGATCCTAAGCATGCAATAGGCAATGGTTGGCACACCTAGCTACATATAGTATATTATCGGGACTTCAAAAGAGATTTTGTGTGTTTCCAATTTTCTTTTTCTTTTCGAATAAAACAAAAAAGAAAGAAAGAATACTGAAAATATTATTTACTTTTGTAAGGTCCTTAATTTAATTTTATGTACTTGTACTAAATTCTCAAAATAAAACTACTTTGATGCCCTTCTTTTATCTATTTTGTTTTGAGCAAGTATCCTTGTTGGTTGCATAGGACTTCTGAGGAAGAGTAATAAGTTGGCTAAAAACGAGGAGCTGAAAAAAGAAGAAGTTTTTTATTTTATATTTTTGAGCCCCACAAAGAGGTGTAATATGAAGTGGAATGTCCAATAATGCAACATCCGTTGTCAGATGGGATTTCTTTAAGTGCTGTGTGACTCTGCCGTGTTCATAAAAAAAATTAACAATTGCAAAGGAAACAATGGCAATGGGGCAAAGTCAAGTCCGAAGGAGCAACAAGATATCATAGACTTCATTCAAGAACTTAAAAGGATGGCGGCAATACTTTAAGACTTTGCACTTGCCAACAATGTGAACACAGCTTGTGGGCATCAAACTTCTTTACAGACTAGAGGTGTCCAACAAAGTAATTGTGTTATGTGGATTTCTTATTCACTTCGTAAATTTCCATATTATGGGCTGAAAAATGTCTTAGTCATCTATATAATATGAAGTTTCCAATCAAAATGGGTGAAAATAGATTTTTTTTTTCAAGTGAAGTTGAAAAAATATAAAAAATAAAAAATAAAAAAGCTGAGTAGATCACAAAAGATGCTCGGACTAAAATTTCCCCCAAAAGAAGGAAAAAGAAAATTAGATATTATTCTACAAAATGATGATCTCTTTTTTATTTTTTATTTCTCTTGAATGGTAAAGCAAACACACTCATATTTTGTCCCCATGGAAGACTCAACATCCTTTTAAAGAGGGAGAACTTAAACAATTCAGGCTAGAGCCTATTGGTAAAAATGGTGATACATTATTAAGTAATAATGATATGTTGTTAAGCAAAAACTACTTTATAGTAATTGTAACTGAAAAGGCACTGAATACAACTCTACAAATCCAACTATATTAAGGAAAAAAAACAGCTGTTTGCCTGTTGCCTGCAAAGCCAAGACAACAAATGAAACGTGAGAGGTGGGTGTCACTCCAACCCTCCAACTCTCTAGAAAATTGTGAAGATCGTGCTGACAGCTTAATTTAAACATGTTTTAATACCCTTTTCGCGTATTGAGAATCTTTATTTCTATATATATGGTATATAGTTATGGTAGTACACTGATGTGTGATAAAAAGATGAACTAGTACGTTGATTCAGGAAAAAATTGAGGACCTACCACACACTCTATAACCTGTAACGGTACAATCTCCTTGCAGTAAAAAAAAGATTGGCCCAATTACACTAAAACCCTTGTGATTTCAAAAAGCCGCACCCACTACCTAAATTACATAAATACCCAACGATAAAGAAACATAAAAAAGAAAAATTGAAGCAACATATTGTCTCTGAAATTCATTCAGTCATTGAAATTTAACCCACCATCACACCCATAACTCAATTCCAATCCAATTAACTACACTAGTGAAAGATAATCTAATGGACTTTATAATTCTGATCTTGCAAGACTTCATTATTCTGATGACACAATTTTGTCTAGTCTACTTCTTGAGCACCTCCGTTCAATTTCCAAACCAGTCATTGTAATTCAAGGCACCATCACACCCACTCCCCTGCACATCGTCACCCTCTCCGAACTCGCGTGCCCTGTTTTCCTTAATCACCTCTGTCATCTACCTCTTGCGTTGCCCCGACATTATTGACTGCTCCACTAATGTTCCGCTTGTTACTCTCCCTACTACATAAATATATATATATATATATATATATAACCCTATACCTAGCATATATATATAACATATAGACTACAACAGCTTCCTTGTATAAAATCGTACCCCTTCCAAAATAGATGTCTATGGGTATTTATGTAATTCCATAGCTCCCATTTAGTTATCGGGCAGCTAAAAAGTGGGGTGAGTTGCTGCAGTTTGTAAATTCTGGGGATTTGTTGCTAAAAAAAAGAAAAAGAAAAAGAAAAAGAAACAAAAGGAGGGAGTAAAACCACTGCAATTGGGTCAAAAAAGATTTAAGATTCTTAAACATCTTTCCTTTTACCGAAAAGAAAATAAATTTCCAGAAAGTACAATGAAAATTGGTTGGATCATAACGTGATGGTAGGAACTAAAACAATCCTTCTGTTTTTGGAAGAAATGGATCAAAACTCGGAAGTTAATTTTCTTTTTTTAGATCGATCAAATCGTCAGAATTTTTGTATCAGTAAAATAAAATAAATAAATAAAAGAAATGGATTGAAGATAATTGACCGATCAAAAAGAAAGGGCAGAGATATCCGAGGATCAAATAAGATTCATACGAACCATATAGCTTCCTCTTGATTCTGCAAAACACCAAGCTGATCGCCCTAGAACCTTCACATGGGTGTGTTACTCAAGCACACGAATGGATAATATATTGATGATAAGCGATCCGAAGTTAAAAGCTTTCAAAACAGAAAATCACAAAAGATCTGAAGTGGAGTAGAATCACTTTACTTATTAGAAGAAGCGATCCAAATAAAAATAAATAAACAATCGATAAAGAAGTGTATTCTGATTTAGATGGTGCCGATAACTATTCATTTAACAACTAGAGATCTCATACTTCATCAACTCGATAACAACGATAACAAAAATAAAACAAATTGGAACACCCTATATTCATAGTTAAGGATCCTGAAAAAAAATAATTTTTATGGCAAAGCAAAAGAGCACAAAAATACAGAAACAGAGAACTAAAAAATGAATTAAAAATAAAAATAAATAAGAACAGAAAGGAGAGAGATGCTTGCCTGAGTGAAAGACAAATTGTTTTGCTTTTCGCAAACTATTTTTAGAAATTGTTTTGCTTGTTCTTCAAAAACAAAGTTCACGACAAGGGAGAGAGAGATTAACGAAAGCCTGGGAGAGGAGAGAGATTATTGTTGTCATATGTAGTAGTCCTGGACCTCGGGCTGTGGGACGGTGGGCGGGCCATGTAACAGCCAATAGGATGAAAGTTATTTCGAATGCTGTTGCTTTGTGAAAAGGTCCGATTCGCCATTCAATTAATGATAAATTACGAGATTAACCTCGGGCGCAGGCAAGCCAACCGATTATTTATTTATTTACTGTTTTTCTCTTTTTCGTCTCAAGTCGTCAACTCGTTCGTCATTCACGCAACATATTCGTTCTTACTAAAAATGATATTTTAATGTTATATTTAACCATTAAATAATTATATTGACCCGCTTAAAATTCATTTTTTTAAAAAATCATTTCAAGTCATCCTTGTTGAAATTACTATATATAAGACTTTTATTGTTCGAATCACCCTTTTTTTTTTTTTTTTTGTCTAGCAGAGGTTAGATATTATAGTTTTAAATGGTAATTTTTTGTATAAAAATTAATAGATAGACAATATTCGCACTCTATTTTTTAACGTTTGCATTACAATCTTAAATAAAATGGCAATTCTAATCCTAACTTTACAAGTAAATAATTATTACTTTTAAAATGAAAAAGCTATCATTTTAAATTTCTTCTCCTTATTTCTACTCAAAAAATTAATTGAATATATATATTTTTTTTACGGGACCAAGAAATAAAAATTTATGTTGAATAAATTGACTATTTTGACCAGACCAAAAAAAAAAAAAAAAAAAAAGTAACTTCTAAAAAAATTAGCTCTTTTGATATGAAAAAAAAATATTTATTGAAGAAATTATCTTTCTTGTCAAGATCCCCCAAAAGAAAAAAAAAAAAAGTATGAAAAGAAGAGGATTAATTTTTTTTTTTTTATATCTATATTGAATAAATTATCTCTTTTGATAAGACAAAAAAAATTATTTTTATCTAATAAATAATTTTTTTGACAGACCCCTAAAAAATTATAAAAAAAAGGTACCTCTTTTGGCTAAAAAAAATTAACTTTGTTGAATAATATCCCTTTCAATTGTTAAAAAAAAAAAAAAAAGTCATTATGGAATAAATTATTTCTTTTGATTGTCAAAAATTAAATTGTTAGTATGGAATAAATTATTTTCTTCGATAGGAGTGCTCTGAAAAAAACAAATAGAAAGAAAAAAAAAATAGTAAATAAAGTAAAAAAGGTAAAAATATGTTAAAGTTGAATAAATGGTAATTATGACATTATAAATTAGGAATGGTGCATTAATAAATTTAAGGACTTTTTTGTCATTTTTTTAAGGAGAAAAAGATAAATGTAGTGCAATTTAGGAAAAGTGGAGTGGGAATATCAACGGTAAGGGAAATACTTGTAAGGGAAGCCATATCCGCACTTCACTTTTCAACGTTTGCACCAAATTTAAATAAAATGACAATTAATGGTGATTTTGTATAGGAAAATTAATGTTGACCTTCTAAATTTTTTAAAATTTTCACTAAGTGAAAGTGTTTGTATACTAATTGGATGTGGTTGGTAAAGGAAATACTTGTAATTCAAATCTAATAAAAAAAAATTGTTGCAATCCTTGCTACAACATATTATTACTATGTTTAGATACACATACACATATACAAATTATTTTTTATGATTTAAAGAGAAGAAAAAGAGTTGTTACCGACCTTTAGAGCCTAACTGAATTGATGAAACTTTAATGGAGTGGTGATCCATAGAACCCAATAAGCAAGAAAAAATCCAACATCAAATTACTAAGCTACAAAATATCATTATTGCAATCAAAAAACGATAAATAAAAAGAGAATTGAAGTTTAGGAATAAAATTCATATAATAATAGTTAGTTACTTTCAAAATACCGTTTTTGAAGTTTTGGTGGATGAATTAGTTTAGTTTGGTCTTTGCATGTAGCTTGAAGTTTTGGTGGCTGAATTTGTATAGTTTGGTCATTGCACAATAATTGGACCTCTTGTTTTAGTTCTCATAGTGGCGGCCAATGGCAACCGACCAAACCGCCCTTCCGATGTGGCAGAGTGAGATGTGCCGACTGCTGTCCTAAACGATTATGACATTTCACGCGTACCTTTTCCACATCAGTTTTTATTCCTTTTTGTTAGGCTTACAAAAGTTTACTAGATCGGAATTAAAATGGTTAAAAGATACTAGTTGATACAAGTCTGAAGTTGCAAGTTTGCTTTGAATCAAATCGAATCCACTGCAATTAAAATTTCATATTTAAATTGTCGCAAGAGCCGTTAATCTAAACTCAAATCAAGTAAAAAATTCTTCAAAATTTGGATTTGGATCCCAAACCACAATTCTTCGAAATTTGGATTTGGGATCCCAACCGCAATGACAATTAAATTATCAAATGGTATTAGTAAAAACCACCCGGCTCAATAAAATGCTTACAGAGCAATAATAACGGTCAAGGAGTACTCTCTATCAAAACTTTGAATCTATTTGGTTATTTCAATTAATAATTTTTAGGGATGAATTACGTTGAAGTCTCGTGAACTTATACAACTGTTAATGATTACAATTATGCAGTTCACAAGTATATCATTAAAGAAAATACTAGTACACATGCGATAAGAGATCCGTAAATTATTTCTTAGTTGAACATGGGTTAATGGTTGATGGCAAGGGTGGATTTAGGATTTTTTTATTAGGGTGGGCTAATATTAAGCATAAATTTAATAATAAAATTTCTTAAGCAAAAAAAAAAAAAAAAATTATAACATAAAATAGATAAATATTTGAATGCAAAGATTACAAAATATCTATCTATGTTGTGCTCGACGAGCCTTTAAAGACTCGAATTATTCAATAATAGATTTCAAGTCAATTTTCCAACAAGCTCCCGTTCAAGGTTGATGGTCATGCACTCAGTAAGAAATTCATCTCCAATCCTGCTACACATTATTGTTTTAACACGTTTTATGTTTAGATGCGAGACAGAGGTGGGCTAATACTATTAATATATATATATTTTTTGGACTGGGCTAATATTGATATAGTAGAATATATATATTTTTTTTGTGGGCTACAAACCACCTTTGCCCACCCCTCTGTCCACCTTTGGTTGATGGGCTGACTATCTTTGGACTTTTGGATTAATGACTACATTTAAACAAGTTATAATTAAATTGGAGCATATAAAAAGGTTAGAGAAGTGCCCATTTCTAAGTACGAGACTTGAGCAAGCCTAAATCTAAGAAATTGAGAGAAAGATGAAAGTGAGAGGTTTTGGTGAAACTCTGATGAGGTTTCCGCCAACCAAGTTTGGATTCTGATGTTGTTTTCGGTCGACGAACCCAAATTTCAACAAGACACTGGCATAATCCGATGAGGTTCTAATGAAGTTTCCAGCAAGACTCCGATGACCAACTCATATTTCGGTGAATGTTCTAACCTTTTAGTTCGGATTCCGCTAACTATTCTGGCAACCAGAATTAAAATCCTGGCCAATTTTTCAATAATAAAATTATGGAATTTTATAAATTTCACGTTAGTAAAGTTTTCAACTTATACACTCAATATATTCATATATATATATATATATATATATATATATATATATAAACTTGTTTAGAGTATAATTTTTTTAAATTATATTTTATTTTGGATGAATGATTGGACGGAATGTTACAAGTGTTCAACTAGATCATAAAAATGACAATATATTTGATATATAAGAAGCACATAATTATAAATATGTGATAAATAATAAATTTTAAAAATTAAATAATTAATTAATTATAATTTTAAATTAAAATTTAAAACACTATTTTTGAGATTCCACTAAACCAAATTCAATAACCCATAAAGAGAGGATGTTTATAGGATTTCGCCATCTCTGACTAAATCATGTCTGGCCGGCCAAAATGCATTTGGCATAGTTGTTATGGACGGTCAAGTCTATGACAACAATGTCAATGGTCAGTTAATTGACTTGGTCTCAAACTTTTGAAGTCAAAACAGAATTGCTGGGACTTGATTTTAAGTTTTATTTCAATTATTAATAATCCCAAAACCATTATTTCAATAAATAATATTTTTTTTAAAAACTCAAATTCATTATTTATTCAAATGAAGCCTAAGTTAAGTTAGTTTAAATAATAATTATATGAGGCTTTAGTTATATAAAGCCTCATGTAATATAGTTATTTGAGGCTTTAGTTATATAAAGTCTCATATGAGGCTTTAAAATTATATAAGTTAGATTAAATAAAAATTATATAATTTGAGACTTTAGGCGAACAATATAAAAGTAATTTTTAATATGTAATATATTAATTTTAAGTAATAATTAATTATGTTTGCTTAATAGTCACTTTTCTTCCTTTTTGAGATGTAAAGTTAGTAATTGATTTTTTTTTTCCTTATATAGTAATTATTGTATGCAAGTTTTGTATATATTTTTAATACAACACTTGCATATATATATATAAAACTAGTCCAATAGATATATTCTCAATAATTTTATTTCTATTTTTTTTGTCATTGACAAGAAACTTACTTACACCTACATTTGGAGACTCGAACCATCACCATCCACTTCGAGAGGTAGAGGAGATATTTTTGGGCCACAAGGCCCTTGGTGGGTATATTTTCAATAATTAATAGAGTAGATGTAAAGAATCTCAACACAAATAAGGATAAAAATTAATAGTTAATTCTCCAAAAATTTTATTTCCTTATTAAACCTAAACCAATAGCAGATATTTAATAAGGAAAAAAAGGTAATAATATAAAAAAGTAAATAAAATTTTGGCACCTCTCCACCTATTGGTTGAGAAGAAAATAAAAATTTTAAACAAGTAAAAACACATAAGAAAATAATTTTTTTGGGGGGCTTCTATTGGTTGGGGCCTTGGGCGACCGCCCAAGTTGCCCAAGGCTCAAGCAGCTCCTGCTAAACTCTAATTCAAATGTACAATCTTTCGTGTTGTATGCATCATGATAATAAGAGAAGTACACATCTAGGATGATGCATATGCATTGGGCAAATTTCCT